AAGTGCACGTGATAAATTAAACATAATGGCTAAATCAGCTTGGCCATGCATGCACGGCTGATCACCGCGAGGCCTTGCAGTCTGATCCTAATCCGGGTCTCGTGATCCGGCTGCTGTACTGCTCCGACAAAAGGAGGGGGATGAAAAAAGGTCTGGCAGAGATTTCCCATCACTGATGCGGAGATGAAATTGCAATCACACCATGCTAACGTCAAACCATATGTGGTTTACACCTCACACCTCCACACTGGCTGACTTTTAGGATGACTGCTGTTTCTCAATTCAAATATGACATCTGGGGACCTTCACTGTCCAAAAACAGGTTGAACTACAAACATTTTGTATAAAAAGTCATGTTTGGATATTTTACAAAATATTCCTGCTGATTCTTGGCTTCAGAGACACAAAAGTTTTAATTTGCAGACAAAAATGATGAATCTGAACAAAGTTTTCCACTTGATAACTTAAAACATTGCATCAGGCGTGAATCCTCTCAACAGCCTAGGCATCCCATTACTGCTGATGCACTGCAGACCACGCATCCCATTGAGCAAGCAGAATTGTTAGCTAATGAATGTAAAAAGGACGAGTGGAGTAGTTTTGTGAGTGCATCACGATGCAAACATCGAGTCTGACCAAAATGTGAAATAAATATAGCTGCTGTGAAGAGGATTCAGGACTACTGCTCTGCAGTTCTGCATAAATAAACATAACCACGACCCAGCAGCACACTCATCTTACCTGCAGATCCGATCCTTGCAGTCTACAATCCATATACTTTTCCCACGCATATGACAGATCAGTCTGCTGTGAATGGGCCATGTCGTCCAGGTTCTCCTCTAATTTATTCGATGAGGACGTCAGAAACCGAGGGAGAAAAGCAGAAAAGCCCCAAGCTGTCTTTGGTTTCCTTTATCCTTCAGGTGGCTGGATGAGACCCGGGCAGCCCAAACGAAGCCCCAAATGTTCCCCTGAGTCTTTCATTGCAGAGTCATGATTTACTGCACCGCTTTTAAATTTGGGTTTCTGTAGAAAAGCACCAAATGTCAAGGGTTAGCAAAAACATAACCGACCGGAGAAACTTTTGGTTATTTTTATAAAATGGGTTTAGATGAACTAACGGCTAGAGGTGACAAATTTAAACCGGACTTGAACCCGAAACTTTGGACGGACGAGTCTGTCGTCTTATCACTAAACCAAAACAAAACGGGACTATAGCAAAACACACGGTAGCTAGCTAGGTTTGACAGAAAGCTGCGTCAAGGGCGCGTGCAAGCTTAAAAGCTGATTTCCGGTACGGAGTTTGACTTTCAAAATAACAGTATCACTAGGATGAAGACGTGAAACACCATTGTTTGGATTTCACCGTCCTACTAATATAACTCGCTTGATTTAGTAAAAGTTACAGTTACCTTTTGTGTGTTGTATTGTTTGTATTTAATAATTTGTGCATTTTATTGCCAATCAGCAAAACAATTAGTAGAATTAACTCCCATTCCTCACTAATGCTGTCTTCCAAGTCCTACAACAAATAAAATATTGCTCATTTTAAAATCTCTTTCCTGCATTCAAGTGCTGCATGATGGCACTGATTGTTGCCTTTTTTGCCTCACAGCAAGACAGTCACAAGTTCACATTCTCTTCATACATTCATGAGTTTGCTCCTCTTAAGCCATTTTCCTCCAACAGGACAAAAACATTCATATTAGATTGATTGGAGGCTTTATATAGTAACTAAATGTGAGGCGTGTGTGACTGGTTGTGTGTCTCCATGAGGCCCTGAGATGGACGAGGCCTTGTGATGGGACTGCAGACCCATCCTGGGTATCTCTGTCCTTTCAACCGTTTACTGCTGGAGTTAAACACCAGCTGCCCACATTTAAACAAAGATTTCCTGAAAACAACAGCCTCAAATTTGGCATTCTGTCAATTTGTATGGCATCTTTAAAGAGCAAGTCATCCCTTACCAGAGTATTACTCCACTCCCACTTCCTGTTTGAAAAATGCAACAAATGCTGTTGCCTAGCAGACCGAGAGGGCGGAGCCGCTAACAAATACATATATATATATAGTTTATCAGAAAAAAACTTGATTTGGGGGTGACTTGCTCTTTCAAGTATTTTTTTTTGCTCATAATCTATATAAATGAGTGTCAAATTGTGCTGTACACACGTGTAGTCAACAATTTGGCACTTTATTGCATCTTAGTTCAAATTTAAATATTCTGCCTAAAACTGTCATTGTGTTGTCAGGTAAAAACTCTGCACTACATTTTAATTTAAATCTGGCACCACTATTCGCTAGGAGGTACATTACAACGTTAACTGGTACCTTATGATGTCGCAATGTCGTTGTGAGCCTGTGTGTGTTTGTGTGTGTATTTGTTTGCGGCTCCGCCCTCTCGGTCTGCCAGGCAACAGCATTTGTTGCATTTTTCAAACATGTAGTGGGAGTGGAGTAAGACTCTGGTAGGGGGTGGCTTGCTCTTTAAGCCCTTGTCAGATTTTTACTGACTCCCATTTGTGATGACTGAGGATTAAAACATAAGCACAGATAAAGAGGACCCATTATACTTGAAATTATTATGATGCAGGTTTATATTATTAATACAATTTATTGCAACACAATTGAATAATTCCACTCTAGACAGGTCTGTTAAATGTCTTGTTAACGACAAAACAGCAAAAACACTATCGCGTTAAAAAACGATTTTATTTTGACAAGTCTTCCCTTTTACCGTTTGACGTTGCTGCTAGCTTAACCGCACTGGATGTTGCAATACTCGACTACTTCAACAAAGATATCTGGATAAATAACAATTTAATGCCGGCGACGCTGTGTTTCATTAGTTACAAAACGATTACGAAAAACTACACGTTTATTTCTACATTACAGCTCTTTAGCAAAGACACATAACGTTAGCTGTTTGCTGGTTGATGCAGCGTACTGTCCGTTCGGGTTCTGTCAACAACACACAAAAGAATGAATAAAAGTGGTTATAAAAGTACGAATGCGACTCGTGTGCATTTATATTCCTTCTATTTTCACGATGTTCGAACAGAAAGAACGCATACGTTAACAACATACCTTCCTCACGCGTGAATTAAAGCCAGCTACGTGCTAGCCATCGTCCCGCACCGCTTTTTTTAAATTTGAGCCCTCAGTAATGACTGCAAGGCAATACGAGGCAGATAAGCACTGAACATATTAAAATAAATTACACAAGTACAAACGTTATTTTAGTAATGTATTCTCTACGTACATGAGATTAGTTAAAATATTAACAATTCTGCGAACTCTAATTAAAAAGCTTTTTTTCTATCAGACCAATATGAGGGTATAATAAAACATATTATTAATCCTCGTCGTGACGTACTCTCTTCATTTGCTACCCATTGGACAACACGGAAATCATTTTCCAATCAAAACATTGGTACTTCCTTCACAGACTGTTGGTGCGTTAAATGACAACATTTGTTAGCTCTGTGTAGGTCAGTTAAAGATTGTAAAAGTGTCATAGAAATATATAAACTGGACAAAATTTGAGCCAAATGTGGTTTTATAAACGTTAGTACATCTCCCTAGCCTGGTGAACTAGACCAAATTCTTGTTTTGCAAAGTTTTAAATAATATATTTGTTTGGTGTAGCTTGCCAAGCTGACATTTCCCTGCTTTTGAAAAGCATCTAGTCTCAATATATTTGACACACATAACCTCACAGAACATAAGCAATCATTACTCAAAAATCAGACTTTTAAAAAATGCTCATTAGAGAGCCTAAGTCTAACTTTTATCGGCCCACTCTCAATAAAATAAAATAAAAAGTACACACACACACACACACACACACACACACACATATATATATATATATATATATATATATATATATAAATATTGGGCCAAGGTTCTGGGAAACGTTTGTAGTCTTTTAAAACCTAACTGAATGCATATTTAAGCCTACAATAACAGCTAATAAATAAAACACTGGATAAAAATAACAGACTATACAAAAGCTCATACTCATGTCCAGTCACAAAAACATCAACATATTCTAGATTTTTATCTAAATGTTTAGGAAAAAATGTCTTCCACGCGTCAGTGTGTTAAGACTGGTGTTCTGAAGATTTAGTGTACCATTTATTTACAGTAACACACATGTAATGAAACGCCCCCAACACATGATGGCAGTGTTGCTGTACTCAAGATACAAATGCAACAGCTCACATAGTGGAAAAACCTTTTATTCCTTTGCTGGTCAGTTGTTCTACCAGCATCACAGATGTTTTCGCTCTGCTGCTCCACGTTATTACGCAAGATGAGCTCAGATTCAAACAGTGTAGCACAGTTGAAACAAGATCCTGTCATCGGTTGCTAAAACAAATTTCACATTAAATTATGCATCCCTGCAGATTTATTCTCAGTTTATGTGCACTTAGAGGAAAAATAGCAAACATGACAGAGTTTTTATTTACACTTCTCAGGGGAGAATGGTTGTGATTTTGCAAATGTTTAAAAAATTAGATAAGAATAATACTGAGTGGTAAAAAAGGCACTTTTAAAATCATCCTGGGTTTTGTTTTAGTGGCATTTTCAGGAGTCATGGTTCAGTAGCCGCTCTCAACGCAGCCTACAGCCACGGCGTTGTCAGGACACTTGCAGGAGCGGCCGTTCGGTGTTGCTAAACACAGGTGAGTGCATCCTCCGTTGTTCACAGAACAGTAGTTTTGCCCTGATGAAAAGGGGAAAAAGGTCAACGATTACTAACACTGGGGTGCACCCTAACGGAGCAGCAGGAAACAGGCTCCTGCTCATACTAAACACACAATAAGGAAACATAGCACACTCCAGATGTTGGAGGCCCTCTCCCTCGACTCCACATTCCCCAGATTCAGGCATTCAGTCTTATCTAGAAGGGAGGATGAGGCATAACTTAACTGTATCGTCATCCATTTAAGAAGAAACGCAGATGCTGTTACCCTATGGTCACAGCGCAAACCTTTGATTTCACACATTTGCTGTGAATTCTTGGGGAAGAGGAGGTCACAGTTAACTCGCAGCAAACATTCTTACTACCTGAAAGGCACTGAGGGTAAGCAGCGGCGATCCCATATGGTCTGGTCCGTTTCTGAGGCTGAAACTCATCTGTCTCCTTTTCAGCATAGCGATCCACTGAGACCACGGCATCCCTGTTGGGAATCAGAGCGAAGAGTTAAAAAATGTGGAACATTCTCGACTTGAGGGACTCTTCCTGTTTGAGATCAACCCTGAGAGTAACTTTCTGAGCCACGGATTGTTGTGAGCTTTTGCAAAACCAGTGACACCTCTCAGTTCTCACTCCTAAGGCCCTGAGGGGGTCACTCGCAGATGCCGGGGCTGGGAAATTGCTAACAGCTGTAACTTTGCGACTTTACACACACGCACGCACGCGCACACACACCCAACCCCCGCTTTCTTCCGTAGCAACATACAGAGAGCTCAGGAGTTTTGTGCTGGGAGTGTCCAAGTTAGGGAGAATCTGAAGGGTCAGCTAGTTGACCCCGGAGCAATGCTCTCTTGTCTCCAGCTCACCAGATCCAACCTCAAACACTCCACAGTGCACATGATTCAGGTCAACAACGTGAACTGGATGCTCCAACAATGCTACAGTTGAGATGCTTTGATTTTATTTCATGAATGGAATTTTTTGTTACCATCAAGAATAATTAATTTCCTCGTGATCTCACACATTTAACACCAATTCAAAACACAAATGTTGTTTTCCCTTCCCGTTCTTAAAACGTTCTAAAACACTATATATGTTTTTTTAATGTATTTTTACTGTGTTACAGTTTTCTTAAGTTATTATAGTTCTATGGTCTATACAAAACATGTTTATGAAGTTCTTCCCACAAAAACCATCTCAACAGTTTTATTCTTTACACTTTCAGTACCTTCCAGAATGAGCTGTTTCAGCTTCAAACTGGAGCTGGCCACGCCCACCTATTCCCTGCTCAGACTAATATGAAAACAGAGGAGCTCCAGTATCCGGGAGAGGCTTGGAGTAGAGCTGCTGCTCCTCAAGCATTGACATGTGTGTTCTACGCAAAGCTCCCCTTTTGTGATGTCACAAAAGGAGACCTCTTGAAACGGCTTGTTGTAGGCATATAATTCATAAAACCAAATACAGTAAGAAAGCAGATGGATTTTCTTTAAAGTTGGAAGTGTTTATAGAGGCATTAGAAACCCAAATGGCAGCACAATAGGATGCAAAAGGCGATTTTGTAATGTTTGTAGTATTTTGTCCCCTTTCATAGTAAATGTACTAATAGGTGCATAAGGGTTCAGCTGCCTGTGTAAAAGTCAAACTAAAGGAAGATTCAAACCTCTGCCAGTCAGTGTAGTAGATGGTCTTCCCAAAAGATGTCATTCCAAACGGATACCGAATTCCCTCCAGAACAGTGCTTCGGTCGCCTCGGCTGGGATTCATGCACTCCATTTTATGCGTGCCTACAGGCAGGAGATTATACTCAGAGCTAATCACAAAGCAAACATCTTTGTCACTAAATTATTCATCTTCCTGTACCTGCGTCTGCCCAACAGAGTAGAGAACTCTGTGAGTCATAAGTCAGGCCGTTTGGCAGGGTAAGACTGTCCTTAACCAGCACCCGTCTGTTGGATCCATCCATGTGGGAGGTTTCGATCTTGGGGGCATCGCGATTCCAGTCAGACCAGTACAGATTACTGTTGTAAAAACAGAATTAATTTTAGGCTGTTTATAAGTCAACAAAATAGCTGGTACTTTTTTTTTATTCAGTGATGGCAAAAGATGTTTTCTTCTGCTTGCATGGATTTTTATTTAAGCTAATAGCCTGTTAGCATACTGGGAAAAGCGTAACCAGTCTGCCTAGCTTATCCACACGTTTGGTCTAAAGCTACAGACTGGTGACTGGATCACAGAGTCATGCAGATGAGAACAGAACAGAATGTGGAAGACTTTAACTGGTTTCATCACGTTTTGTTCCAAATCCTTCATTAGCAGTCATAAATAATAGGGTCTTCACAGATGTATGACTCACACGACTTACACACACCGTGTGAACTTACACGATCCTCACTCACACCGAGGCAGCTGTTCCCCGTTCAGCTCCGTCTTATCTGATCTTGGGCCGATAACAAGCCATTGCTTTTCTGGATCTTGGCTGTATTGGTGTATAGACTTATAAAAATGTTGCCTAAGGCATTACACACCCACTAACAGGGTCGGCGATGACAGCGCGGGGGTTTACAAGATCTGTGTCGATGAGGACGCGGCGCTGAGACCCATCCAGAGACGCCACCTCGATACGATCCCTCATAGAGTCGGTCCAGAACATTGTTCGCCCCAAATGATCAATGGTGATTCCCTCTGGGCTTTCCAAATCTGAGAGGAGGAAACATTTTACAGTTTAATTCACTGTGTTAAAAGTTGTTCAGTTCTTTAAAGAGCAAGTCACCCCCTACAAGAAACTTACTCCACTCCCACTTCATGTTTGAAAAATGCAACAAATGCTGTTGCTTGGCAGACCGAGAGGGCGGAGCCGCTAACAAATACACACACACACACAGGCTCACAATGGCATTATGACATCATAATATACCAGATGACATCATAGCATACCTCTTAGCCAATAGCGGTGGCAGATTTAAATTCAAATACAGTGCAGAATTTTTCCCTGACAACGGCACAACACTGAAAGTTTTAGGCACAATATTTGAATTTTAACCAAGATGCACTGAACTGCCAAATTATTGACGACACGTGTCTGCAGCATGATTAGACACTCCTTTATATAGTTTATCAGCAAAAAAAAAGTGATTCGGGGGTGACTTGCTCTTTAAAGACACCATAGGAGTAATAGTAAAGCTACCTGTTCTTATGACAGCGGTGGGCTCTCCCCCCAGCATGCTGGCTTTGCTGATTGAAGGAGATGTGATTTCTGTCCAATAAACCATCTTCTCCACACAGTCATAGGCTACTCCAATGATTACTTTCTCCTGGGGGGGTTGGAAGACTACAATTGTTTTTGTCTCTCACAAAGTTTGGTGCAGATTCTTTTTAAATGTTTTTTCCTTTTGGGGTCCAGACAGGAACGCAAACAAACTAAAGGGAAACTCAGCGTGGGCTGCTCTACCAGCACAGCTGCTTTGGAAATCAGCATGACAGAAAAGGCAGCCAGCAATTCCGAATATGACGGACCGATGTTAGTCATCGGTGCAAATTCCACAATGTGTGTCCAATAAAGTGTAAGCCTCAAATGCACGGAGCAGCTGGGAATCTGACGGAAACACGGCAAGTGTTAGTGCAAACAAGGGGGGTGGCAGGAGCTACAGCCGGAGGTGGACAGGCGAGGAGTAACGCGTGTTCTTCTTTCTCGTTTAAAATTAATCATGCAAAAAAAAATTATTCATGATTGTAAACTGATTTCCTTTGCGAGGAAAACAAAACTCACAGGGAGATGAAGGACGGCCTTGGCGTCATGCTTTTTCATGTCATACCCTTCCAGCGGGATGTGTTCGATTCTGCCGCTCTGAGCAAACAGCAGGTTTGTCCCTGGAGGGGGAGCGATGACATCGGGGCGAGGCCAGGGTCCAACAGTCGGAGTCACAGTGTTGTGGTCAATACCTGCGGAGATAAAGGAAAGAAAAAAGCTCAGGGGTCACAGAGAGCGAAAGACGGAAGTGGAATCTTGTAATTTACTCACACATGGGTCTGCTGCTCGGTGCAGAGCGAGTGCCGGAGATCTCCAGGCCGTTTCGGTCCACGCACCAGCAGTACCCAGTGCTGCCATGGCACTGCATGGGCAGGTAATTGCCGTTTTCATCACATTCTGGGATGTACTGGCTGATAGGAGGTCGGGCGCCACGCGGATGTGCCTCCATCGTGCTTAGAACGTTGTCTCTGTGGGCCTCACACCGTGTCTTAGTCCTCTCTGATGAAAACAAACAGTGTAAGACACTTTTGGTTGTTTTGGGGGGCCTTTATGTTCAGCATCCCATTTTTCTTTCCAGAGAATAATAATAAACAGCATCCAGCTGGCTCCAATACAGCAATTCTTTCCCAGATATCCCTCTTTTCCAAATGACTGAGAAAAAAAATGGAGACAGTCAAAATAATCTGTTTTCTGTTTATCAGTTAGGTAACTTTGCAAATGCATGAACATGGCAGAGTGTGCGGTTCCTACCGGAGGAGCAGTAGACGCCATTGCCACTATAACCTGGGAGGCACTGGCAGAGGAATGAACCCTGTGTGTTTACACACACGGCGTTTTGGTGACACCGGCCTGGCTGGCACTCGTCTATGTCTTCAGGCAAGCAGGGAGGGTGAGAGAAGACAGGACAAAACCACAAAGCTTAAAAATGTTGTTAATTTAACGGTAACATCATACGGGCTTTTATTCAGGACTGACAATATGGCCACGGGTGCCCTGGAGGTGAGTTAAGGGGGGTTAGGGGTGACGTTTGCACTGAAATCAGTAGGGTGGCTGTGGGGTTGTGTCAAGCCTCCAGGGATACGTGGGTGGCAGCTAGGGCCTTTTATGGGCTGCAGCGATTGGTGGGCAGTCGCATGTTGGACCTCGCTTCTGCCAGGAGAGACTTGGTGGTTTTGACCCAGTTGAGGTTGGTCTTCAGAGCGGGTTGTGGGGAAGCATCCAGGCGGAAAATGAGAATGTGGGTCACGTCCTTTTGCATAGCCAGAGACATGCTTTTCAGAGGAGTCCCTTATTTATGTCTTCAGGGGTTCCTGTTGGTCGGTGTTTTGTTATTGGACCTTGTCGGAGGTGGAGAACTGGCATAGGTTAAGGGCACCGCTGGGATTTCTACGAACGTTAGGGGTGTACAGGAGACCGTGACAGGGAATATGTTGTTGTGGCAGCAACATGCCTTTTAGGCGTCTAGCCTGCATCCCCAAAGATAAAGATGCCAGATCATCCACAACCTCCAAGCAGACCAGTCATGGCTTGTTCCAGTTCATAACCAGCCAGGTCAAGTCTAGTTTGCTGTGCTGGGTTCAGTCACACTGCAACAATCCTGTTTATCTTTTATAAATACTTGTTGTAGTTTTTTGATCTGTGTATTACAAAGAAAGTCTTTAAGAGCTCCTGTTAAATATAGTGTTTTATTTACATTAAAGCACTCCTGGAGTTTAAAACCACATGGCGCTAGGCAGCTTTGGAGTGTCTAACGTAGCCTTGTAAAACGTCTATGCCATCGTCAGCCTGCTTTCCTGATGCACATTAGGAATGTTGCAACAGAGAAACGATTAGCTCTAAGAGAAGTTGACTTTGAACGTCTTAAGTTTAGACACACTCCTTACCTTGTTTATTATGTACTTAAATGATATCTGCAGAGTATCAAAACTTTTAAAGTTTGTAATACTTGCAGATGACACAAATATTCTGTGTTTAGGGGTGGAATTGCCACAGGTCTTGGAGTTGATCACACAGGAGTTAACGATATTAAAAAAGTGGTTTGATATAAATAAATTATCATTGAATCTAGATAAAACCAGATTTACGTTATTTGGTAACCAAAAGAAAAACATCAAAATAGAAATGTGTGTGGATAATATATATTTAGAAAGAGTAAATGAAATTAAATTTCTTGGTGTGATCATTGACCATAAGCTCTGTTGGAAGCCACACATTACTCATGTTCGGGGGAAATTGGCACTGGTCTATTAATTAATTAATTAATCAATTTCCCTCTGGGATTAATAAAGTATTTTTGAATTGAATTTTGAATTGAATTGAATTGGGTCGTTGCCATCCTGGGGAAAGCAAAGAAGATGTTGGATCAGAAAGCCCTGCACATGTTATACGGTGCTTTACTACTGCCATATATGAGTTACTGTGTAGAGGTCTGGGGAAACGCATACAAAAGTAACATACAGACGATTACTATAATACAGAAAACGGCCATTAGAATAATTAATAATGTGGGGTACAGGGACCATACAAATGCACTATTTGTCGAAATCCAAGCTATTACATTCCAAGACTTGTTGAAGCTCAAGACTGCGCAAATCATGTATAAAGTAAGAAATAAATTGCTTCCAAAAGAAATTTGTTTATTGTTCAAAGAAAGACAAGCTGGGTATAACTAAAACACAAAGTGCTAGAACAACCTTAAAAACTGTCAATCGCAATTGCAGGAGTTAAATTATGGAACAGTATAACAGAAGAGATAATTCAATTCAATTTAATTCAATTTTATTTATAAAGCGCCAAATCACGACAAGAGTCGTCTCAAGGCACTTCACATAATAAACATTCCAATTCAGGTCAGTTCATTAAGCCAATCAGAAATAATGTTTCCTATATAAGGAACCCAGCAAATTGCATCAAGTCACTGACTAGTGTCAGTGACTATACAGCAATCCTCATACTAAGCAAGCATGCAGCGACAGTGGAGAGGAAAACTCCCTTTTAACAGGAAGAAACCTCCAGAGAATCCTGGCTCAGTATAAGCAGCCATCCTCCACGACTCACTGGGGATGAAGATAAAAGAAAGTAAAAACATAAACCAGTTTAAAGTAAAATATAAAAACCTAATTTTTAATAAGTATAAGAATGAAGAAAACAGGGTTAACCCAGGACGGTGAATGTGGGTGGTTATGCTGTTGTGCTTCTTTTTCTGTGTTTTTTGGTTTGTTTGGTTTTTCTGGTGAATCTGCAAATTTACACATTCTCTGTTTTCCATATGTGTTTTTTTTATACATATATATTTTTTTCATATGTTGTTTGTTTAATTTAAGATTGAAAGAAAATTAAATGACTAAGAGGTCAAACTTGGTGGTAGGGACAAATAAGTAAATACTTCTGCCTGCTCCTTCTCAAACAACTAATGGAATAATATTTTGTAATGATACATGTGTGAAATGTTTGAAATATAAATGAACTGAACTGAACCTTGTCACTTCATCACTGGTTTGACCACACTGTCCACGCTCCGGCACCACACACCCCCAGCCTGCAGACCAACCCCCCACCAACGTCACCACTACCAGAACCTCCACCATTACCACCACCACACAAACGCAGAGTTAGTAGTTTCAGGCAGTCAAGCCAGAACAATTTCCATACTTGTCTCTCCCTGTTACTAAACACCAGGACTGATCACACACGGAGCGCCTAGCTTAACCCATCGCCACACTGCTGATACAGACCTGCTGGACTCCTCTGACTGGTCTCCTCACACTGAGAATGGATCTAAAATCATTATGTTGTTGAGTTGCCGTTACAATCTGAAGGCGTATGAGGTATTTGGTGTCTTTTTGCAGTACCTTGGCAAATTCTACCGTCGCCTACGAATCCTGGCAAGCAGGAGCAAATGTAGGACGATCCTCCAGTGTAGCTACACTGCGCTCGGTCAGGGATGTCACAGGTGTGCGTCCCGTCCTCACAGTGATCCACGGGTCGATCAACTTCTACAGAGAGGAGGAAGAACAACTCAGATCTTTTCAATGCATCGTATTACGGTTCACGTTTGGACCTCTTGCCAAGCATTGAAAGAGATGTCCCACTTTATTTAGAAGCACACAAATGCTACTTACCAATGCAGGTCCGTCCATCACTACCAAATTGATATCCATCTTCACATTCACAGCGGAAGGTCCCAGGCTGATTGTTGCAGATAGCATTCGGACCACAGATCTGCTGGTTTTCAGTGCACTCATCGATGTCTGACAAAGAGATTTGACCATTATCACATGCCAAAAAACCCCAAATTAGGTCCAGATTTGAATTATGACGTCTGAAGCTTTGAAACTGGTGTTCTTAATGATCAGACATTGAAAGTTCAAAGCTTAATAAGATGGTCTAATTATTTAAGATAACATCTGTCTGAAAAGCTTCCTTCCTGTCTCTACTGTATGCCCTTTTCCTGTTTCGTCTCTTGTGTAAAAGATAGCCGGTTGTGTAGAGAGTGGCCTGGGATTAGCGACCGTTGTCAGACTGGCTTCAAAGCGTGGGAGTGGGATTGCCGCTGCTAAATTATCAAAATCTGCTGTCCCACAGGAGAGAAGGTCTTTGGAAATTTGGGTTAATTCAGGAACAAATAAGAGAAATTTGTTGTTTTCATTAAAACAAAAAAGAAAGGTTATGTTTTAAACTGAACTTCATGCTATACTTACCGTAACATCTACGACCATCACCACTGAAACCAGAAGCACACTGACAGGTAAACTGGGATCCCTGGTCAGGTCGGCACACAGCGTTAGTGTCACAGCCGTGTCTCCCGGTGAAACATGGGTTCTCCTCTGTCTGTCCTCCTGGGAAATTAGTGTGAGACCATTCTGATGCATTACTAATAACAAGAACCGCATTGTTGTTAAAGTGAGTCTTCGACCAGATTTCTACATTAGGAAGGTGAGTTCAGTAAGATCAGACCAGACCCCCATTCTCACCATTGACATCCCCAATCTTGTTGCTCATGGCATACCGAAGGAGATTATTATTAACGTCATACAAGACAAAGATTTGGTCCACTTTCAGCATCTGGGTAGTCACATCCCTCAAAGACTCATCATGCTGACAGCTCTGGAAGGTGATGGTTTCGCGACACTGATAGCTCCTGGTTTCAACGGATCCATCTGGGTTAGTCACTGTGTAGTACCGAGTTGAGGATGAGGTGATCACTGAAAGGTGAAATAGTCAGATTAGTCACTAGGGAATACCTTTGTAGTAGGAAAAACTCAGAAATATTCATTCTCACTGCAGGCCTGTCTCACTCACAGTTGCTGTCGTACTGGTAGACGTCGGTGTAGGGGTCAATCTGGACAGTAGAGCCTGGAGGTACCGCCGGGACTCGGCCATCCATCGTGGTGCTCACTACCAGGTGGTCAAGTTCATCTGTACCTTCAAACTCTTGCCTGATTATCAGTTTCTCATTCCCAGGCTGAAAGGTCACTTCAGCCTGCCGTGTGAACTCCCCCCCTAGAGAGGACATTGGTAAAGATTCAAGTCTGGATTAAATACTTCAACTTTTTTTTACACAAAAATGTGTTTTGTTTTTTTTCCTCACCAATGATGCTAAAGCCATTCCTGAAGCCAGGCTGCTCCAGAGCAAACACCCACCCAATCACATTACTCAGAGCCAGCAGGGGCATCAGAGAAGGACCAACAGACGTAGGGATGTCACTGATGGCAACGTACGATCTGCCATCATTAACCACCACGTATGAGTGAAGGTCATTGCCGTTGAACTCCACGGGAGAAGGAGAGTTCTCCACAAACACTTTTCCTCGTAGTTTACCGTTCATTCTTTGTGGCTTTCCTGTAAAGGCAATCAAAACGCAAAATATGACCAAAAGCATCCACGGTCCAACCTCCACAAGCAACATATTCATGCCGCGAGTGTATTGAAAACATTTGTGACAGATTATGTAGAAATGGGTGCATGAAGCTTAAAAACAGCTGTTCTCAAGCTCATTTCACCACCTGATAAGAGTGATCATCACCACAATTGCAGCCAAATAAATGCCGATTAAAACAATCACAGCATATAAAAGTACAGAAGCAGACGTGTACCCTCAGCCACGCACTGTAGCCCGTTGCCGTAGTAACCCGGCCTGCAGTGGCAGCAAAATCCACTTGCGTAGTCTCTGCAGTCGGCAAACTGGGAGCACTTATTTCTGTTGTTGGCACATGACCCAAGGTTGTATGAAAACACTGAAAATGTAGAAATGGTAAATTATTATAATCCCTTAATGATGTTTGGTAAGAAATAAGGTTTGATGTCAAAAACAATTTGGTTTACAGAACAATACTTTGCGATGTAGTCAAGAATTCTTTCAATTACAAATGGTGTACCACAGGGATGTTTTTCCGGTCCTGAACTGTTTAAGATAAGTTTTGTAAAGAATATTTCAGTATCAATTTCTTTGGTGATGATGGTTTTATGCTCCCCACCTAATCTCAGTTCAGCCTGTTCATCAGTTCTGAACTGAGTATTCATTGTTAGAACACCTAAATTAATAAACCATTTGCAAAAATTGAGACAGACCACTCTCTTTCCTCAACATTAAATTGTAAAAACAAAGAGATTGAGTTGACGTTGAAAATTCACATTCAAGTTTTGGATGTCCTTAATGAAATGAAGATAAATTAAGTTTAAATCTAGTCAGAAATATTTCTGTCACGGACTCACCGTCTACATTTATTTCCGGATCTTCGACCACCACAACCTCTGGGTTTTGTGGCTGGTACCGAAGTGGATTGATTTCAATCTGTTCTGCAGCTGGAGAGTATTTCACTTGTCCATCGGTGTGTTGCTGTGTGTCGACAGTCTCTGCGGGCAGATCAGTGACCACGCCAGGAAACACGTTTCTAAATTGGGGGGAGGTTCCAATCCCATACACCCATACACCCCGCAAGCCGGAGTTTGTCTCCCTGTGATGGAAGAAAACGTAAGGTTGTGTTTAGAAATTGAAATTCAAGCGATTTTGGTTTGTGTACTGGACTTGGTGTAGGAAATGATCCTCTGTGTGGGAAAGCCACCTACTCTGCCAAAGCCCTCACGGACGCCTCGTCATCAGTGGTGGTGCGGTAATATTTTCCCTGGCTAGAATAGAAGAAACCTTCGACCAAACCTTGACTAAAACCTGCATGCATGACCACACCATTGTCCTCTACAAGCGTAGAGGTGAATTGTATTCCATTTCTTGCGTAGAGAACAATAGCATATGAGGCAGTCTCCAAGGATGCAATAACCAGCTGAAAGGTGTTTCTCTGGACAAAATGTAACAAAAAGGTTAATTAGAGAGAGAATAAACAACCACAACTCATTTAGACAACTTTGTGTGATGCTCACCTTCCTTTCAGCGCCATCACCTCTGGTTTGGGGTTTGTGGCTGGCTATGTCTACCCAGGTAATCACCACAGTGTTGATGGGATTAACCTCATCTTCCTCTGGGAAACCCCTGTTGATGTGCTCAGCTGCCTGACGCAAAACATCTGGACTATTATCTTGGCGAAAGTACACTTTCCCCACACCGTCACTTGTGTCCAGATCTCCGTGCAGAGGTGCCATCGCGCCAAACTCTGGGGGCAATTTGCCTAGATATGTCGACTCGTTCAATGGCTCCTTAGTGGCAACAAAACCGTTGGTGTTGATCTGAAAATAAAAAGAAACCATCCAGTTATATGGAAGAAGAGCAATGAATGACTGGAAAAGTTGGAGACTTCCATTTGGACACAGCGAAAGCACACCAGTTTAATTTTGAGCCGCTTTGATCTCGACTCAAAACTCATTAGACTAATGATTAAAGTCAGCTGCCATGTCCTTCCAAAGCCCTAATGAAGAAACAAGAACCTATTTATACCTACTTCAACAGTCTTTTAATGGTTTTTACGCACATGGAAAGGTACAAAAGTAGATCTATGTCAAAAACATGCACAAGACTTCCAGAACAAGGAAAAACAAGAAAGCATTTCTTCCTAAGCCCAGGATGTACTGTTTCCTGTCATTCCCCCGTGAACGACCCCCAAAGAGACTGAAGACTGCACAGCAATCTTCGTTACAGAGACTTCCTGCCAAACTACGGGACAGAAGTTGGGAAAACAATTAGTGAGATGCAGAGCAGAAAAAGATCTTTGTGATAGAGATGAATGCATCCTGAGACTTGATAAAAAACTAACCACATTCACCGGAAGCTGGTGAACTCCTTTCATGTGTGTAACTACACTGAGAACCTCTTAAAAGCATTTCCCCCCACCGGGCTCAGGCCGTTCTGAGTGTGTGTTCTAAATGTGAAACAGAAATCTTTTAGAAAAGTAGACTGCAGCTGGGAAATGAATTTGTGACGCAGCAAAGGACGGTTGTTGTAACACATATTTTTACTTGAAGAGTTTTACCTCTTAACACCATTTTTTAAACATTTGCGAAAGCAGTGTGTGACCCCCGGGGGCAACGGTGATAACTGGTCTTCTTTACTGAATTGTTTTAATTCGGTCACATTGAAGGGTTGTTGTATTAGGTAGCCTGTTTAAGGTCAAAGGTCAGACGTTACTGAAAGAGAGCAGAAGTCATGGTTCCATCAGTTTCAGGAAGTAGTAGCAAAGTGGCCCCACAACATCACACTACCACCACCATGCCTGGCTGTTGGTATGAGGTTGTTTTAGTTAGTGTGACTCCAGATGGAACGGGACACACACCTTCCAAAAGGTTCTGCTTTGGTCTCATGAATCCACAAAAGGATTTTGGAATCAATAAAGAGAAATTTGTAAGAATTCTACAATGAAATGATCACAGAACAGTCTATTGTCTCAGGCCTGATTTATCCTTCTCCATCAGCTCCACGATGGAGGGACGCACACACACCGACCGAGACGTTTAGCTCTCAGACTTCTCCGTCACCTGGGGAGCGTTGCAAAGCAATTCCCCACCAGGACAACAGAGGGCGTAGCGCTGTTCTGTGGTGTCCTGCCATCGTTACAGTCACGCATCTGGTCCATGATAGTACATCTACTAAATTGTTTATTTCAGAGACTTTTGAACACGAACAGATGTGTTCCCCCTCCACCTCTTAATGCAATCAGCACCTCTAAACTCACGCTTCTGATGTTTGCCGTCCACCAATAAAACACTTGCTGCATGTCTTTGTACTCCTTCAGCCACGGGTGAATAAACATTCATATGTATTTCATACTTTTCCCGAGATGTGTTCTTCAATCTGTTCCGTGTCTGCCGCTAATTATCTTTTTATTTTTTGACAGGGCGAAGGCACACAAGCTCACGTCTCCGTCACTTATAGTTAAAAATTGGGGCATGTCTCCATCACCCTCTGCGAGCCCGTCGGAGAGCTCTTGCACCAATGCATAATGGCGTTGTGTGTCTCTGTTCCAACGCAGATGGAGAAGTATAAATTAGGCTTCAGTCATGGTGGAAGGAAGGTTACATTCAAACAGATTTCATTCTCAGCTGAGTGGTTCTTGATTTTTCTCCTTTCAACAAAACAAAAGAGGGACGTAGATCCTGTTTACAGTCCGTGAGCCTGTGAGGTTGCTAAGTCTGTGCCGATCTAGACATATTACCGTAATACGTTTAGTAAGCGCTCCCTACCATAAAATACCCAAGAGTGCTAACACCAGATAGAACAATGTATTTCTCTACTTTGCACCTTACAGTATATGACAGTTTTCGCTTCTCATCTAGAATCTTTTACTGCTGATCCGTAACTGGCCACAGCCAAGGAACTGTAGCGAGAAAGCAACTCCAGCTCAGTGGCCTAGTGGTATGAGTGTCTGTGCAGGGACTATTGGGGTTCAAATCCCAGTCGGGTCATACAAAAGACTTTAAATCAATCATCTAACCAGGGGCGGTGTTACGCCGGCTACTTGGGCTGAAGCCCCGGATGTTTTATGAAAAGCCCCGGATCTAAATCGCGGAAGTAACATGCAGTACCAAAGTTCAACAGAGAGGGAGCAGCTGGCAGTAGTTTGTATACAGCCTGCCTGAGCCTCCACCACTGAAGAAGAAGCCCTTCAGCAGCCGGCTTCTTCTACACTCTCTGCCTGAAACGCATGAGTGAAGATGGACATGAGGACGTTTTTTAGACCAGAAGTACGGCGACAGAACCCCAGCTTTGATGAGACTGGTGTTGACTCAGGTTTGTGAGTCTTATTAGAAAATATTTGTTGTGCTGCTGGTTTGCCTAAAGTTAGCTTACTATCAGGTAAAGTTGTTGGAGAAAGAACGAGAATATTTACTATCATCTCACACTAAACACTAACAGGAACAATACTCTGCCCTGAAAATGCTTCATATGTAGCTTCAGATTAAAAATTATGTGGTACAAGACAAATATATATGATGTTGACTAGTGCGTGTCACATGTGTGTGTGTGCGCGCTTGTGTGCGCGCGTGTGTGTGTTAAGCCCCGGATCTTCTTCAGTCCTAAATCCGCCCCTGCGTCTAATCCCTCCTCGCTTGATGGACAGCTTTAAGGGGTTAATCCACCAAATAGTTCCCATGCATGGGCGTGTCTGCAGCTCACTGCACCCCCACAGGGATGGGTCAAACATGGAGGACAGATTTCACCACACACCAGTGTGTGTGACAACTGATGGGAGTTCAATATTTAACTATTGGCTTAGAAAAATGGCCTGCAGTCCCCAAATTTGACCATAGGACATCATTCTTTTTTCATTCTTACATATTGCCCCTTTAACATGTTTTATGTTTTGGTAAATGTGGGACAGATCTTTATGTTGGTCAGAGCCTTTGGTCTTGAAATTCTCCCACAGTTGCCATTTTGCCCCTGGACTGTAGTGTTGGTGAGGTGGTTCTGGGTTCTTTTGTTCTTGGTTTGCTTTAGAACAGGGCACAATGATGTGTTGCTTTTTGAGATCTTTTAACCTTCTACATACTGCCAGACAGGTTGGACTTCTTTTTTTAAGGTCTGGTAGTTAGATGTGGGCGTGGCATCTTTCCAAATAATGTAATTAATTACAGTAAAATCATGTTTTAAAAAGAGAGGCAAGACCAGGCTGGGGTTTGGACACTTCCCCAAATAAAATCATCACTTAATAGCTGCATGTTTAATTTACCAGGTTCATCTTTGACTGATATTTCACATTTGTTTGTTGATCTGAAATATTTAAGTCGATGAAAAAAAGGGAAAAGCCATGTAATAAGCTCAAAAATAGAGAAATCTAATAAATGTTTAAAATTAACATAAAAGTTCGAATTAAACAAATAGCTGATGCGCATTGTCCACATGCTGCACAATTAAAACAAAGATGTAGGGAAACTGGAAACACATGGAATGAAGGACCTGTTTGTTCTGCATAACGGTTCATTTCCTTTTACAAGCAACTAATGGTGAAGACCTCCGATGAGATGAAGGCCAGAACTTCTGCGTCCTTGGAAAAACATTAAACATCAGGATTGTTTTGTATTTTGACAACACAAACAATCCACTAAATCAGCACATCAGCAGAGACTATACAACAGACTAGACTTATATTGTTTATCTTTTTCTTTCTTATCCCGCTCCGTTTGCTTTGTGCGCAATTACGCAAAAAAAAATCACCAAAAAGGAGCCCAGACGCACCAGAAAATCCCGCGCGTTTTATACGGTTTTTTATTTATACGGCAGCAAATTAAATGACTTACATAAAGGCTGTCGAACGAGCCATCATAGAAGAGCACTGGCTTGCTGAGAGTTAGTCGGAATGTCTGGTCATCCCCGGACTCCAGTAACTGGTCTCCAGCGCTTGGGCCGAAGGGAAAAAACTCCTCCCGCCGTATGCTCCGCACCGAGGCCCAAAAAACCACTAAACTCGCAGAGAAGAGCCATCCTTGGTTCTGCCAGCCCATGTTGCTCTCCTTCTGGATGAACGGGGTTAAGAGGGAGTGAGAGGAACTGCTCATGGAGAGGGTCTTATGCATGGGCGGGGAGATCCTCTCTGTAAGACTTTCCTAAAGCATTTCATCTGGATTTTGGTTTCACGCTGGGGGACATCTGGGCTAAAAATCTTCGCTTTAGTACGTGGCCGAAGATCTCATTTAAACCTGAAAATTCACTTATTAAAATTTAGGACTAAAATGACCATCCAGTGTTTCGCAACACCGCCCTCTCCTGGGAGAGGCTGGGTCGCTGAGGGGACATACTGGAGCCGTGACAGCAGCTTTGGAGACGAGCCAAGACCACCAGAGCATCATGGACCAGAAACATTCTGTAAAAGACGCATTAATTACTCTGCAGCTATCAAACTCAACCCCAGCTGGGATAACGAGGGCCAGGCAGTTTCTGACCCAGTAGGGGATGATCAGTCATCCATCCAACACTTGGGTCTCGGGCCACAATGTCAGGACAGAGGAAACCAATGGGTCCAAAAACAAAATCCATACTCTGGCTTCTCCTTGCTTAGATCAACATCCAGGTTCTTTCTAATTTAGTGTTAAAGATTTCCATGCACCTTATTTCACCTCCGTGTTCCATAAATGTTATTGTGCTATCCAAGGGAACAGATGTTAAAACATAACTTTTGTTCTTTATTTAATTTTCATCCAAAACTTTATGTCTAAACGTTTTCTTCTTATTGCAGTAGATCAGGTGCCTGCAGCTCTGGAGCCACATGTGGCTCTTTGGCCCCTCTGAAGTGGCTCCTTGTAAGTTTGAAGAAAAATAATGACATTTTGCTAAGCCCACCCCCGTCCCATAGAGCTCCATGCAAACTGAACTGAGGGTCAGTCAGCACCAGCCAGTAGCTTTACCGCGTATGCACATACGTCAATCACAGAGCATGCTCGAGCGTTGGATGTACCTCGGTTGGTGCAGAGATGGTGATTTTCTCATGGACAAGTAAGTCTTAAATATGAATATATGAATACACAACATGACATGAGCATAATATTTGTAAAACAAAGTGTTTTAGCTCTGTTTTGTTGGCTAGAGGAGCACATTCATGAGCAAGAGATGTTGCTAAATACAGAAATGAAAACTAGGTGATGTTGTGATACGGTTATCAGCCATCAGATAAAATAAATAACACAGACAGCCACTTTAAAAAGGGCAAATGTAGACTGTCTTTCCTTAAGTTATTATAGTTTTTTTGGCATTCAACACCCTCACATTAAGCTATTTCAGTAGTTTGATTTTTGATATTTTCAGACCCTTCCAGAATGAGTCGTTTCAGGGCTCTGTCACTTTAAGAAAACCATCTGATGCTGGCTACGCTCACCCATCCCCCGCTCAGGCTTCTTTAAAGTAAATAAATACATTTTATTTATATAGCACTTATCACAGACTCACTCACTCACTCACTCACTCACTCACTCACTCACTCAGCCTTTATCTATAAAGCACCTTACAGGCATGAGCATGCCACCAAGGTGCTGTACAACCAAGCCCCCACAATTCGGGTGAAAAATTGAGCCCAACGCGGAAGTGACAAAAATTGCAGTTCCACCCTCATCCACTAGGGGCTGGTGTCAGAAGCGAGCAAATCCTCATTGACTCCCATGTTAAAAATACCAATTTCACAGCAGAAATAAACATGTTTACAGCCTGGTACAAGAACATGTTTTAGGTTTAAATGATCTAGTTTACACTCATGACAACTCTGAGGGGGGTGAATGTTTTTCTCACTCTTCTGTTTAAGTGTATTAAAAGCCTAAAATTCTGTATAATTAATGAGCATCAGACCCACGTGACCACAGAGCTAGCTCCGTGGAAAGGCCTCAGTAGAGCCTCGGTCTGGCCTGGAAACTGTTCTGGGATTTTGAGTCTCTGTGTGTGTGTATTCTTGTTTTGGATATTATTTGTGCAATTGTTGGACAAAATGACTTGCTGTGGCATTAATTGCACTAATAGAGCGTCCAAGGAGTCTCCACTTCATTTTTTTCTGTAAGTAAAATTATATTTATGTATTTTAGGTCACTGCCGAGCTGAGCTTAGATTTTAACATGTACTGTTTAACCATGAAATGTAAATGTAATAGGGTAAAACCCAGTGCATTTAACATAATGCTGCACTTTAGAAAATGGGTTGTAATATAACATGTTGGTGGAGCTGGGTTCCCACTATCGGCTTGTGGAGCTCTCGGGAGACCGATGTTTTCCACCCGTTCTCCCCTCCCCGCAGCTCGGAGCATCTCTGTCTGCTGCGCTGCCGGCTTGTGGTTCTCCCCTCCCCGCAGCTCGGTGTCGGTACAGGATCGGCTCGGGGTCCTTCGACTGCCGATGACGTCAAAGTACGGCAAACCCACTCGGACAAAATACACTACACATCTTTAAACTGTCGGAAAGAATATAGCAGTTTCGTCATTAAAATAATGTTTCTTACGACGTAAGTTTGTGTTTATAATGGTATTTGTAAAATAAAACACTATATTTTATTCATAATGTTGAACTCCTCTTTGAGCACATCCCTTGAAGGATCATAGGTATTAGCAAAACCTGTGAAATTGTATTTGCAGGAAAGAAGTGTGTCCCGTTTATTGAAGTATTTTGTGTTTAGAGTTTTTGACGTCTTGTCCATGCGTAGTTCAGTTACGCTCATAGCTGCTAGCCAAAACTCTGGAGTTAAAAGTTTTCTGGCTTTACTAAAATACCTGTCTACTTATTTGATTGATGGTAGTTTTACTTTCTATTAGACTCCAAATGTAATCATTTGGCACGTTTCTAATTCATAATTTGTAATTATGTAATCGGTGGTATTAGCATTAGCATTCCTATGGGTTTTTCCACGTATATTAGCATTGCGCTAACCACTCGCTGCCAAATTGCAGCCTTTGCGATTAGAAAATCTCCTTTTGTCACATCGCAATTTAATTGCACATGCAGTTAATCGTTCAGCCCTAATATACATGCAGCTCTATGCTAAAAGTGTATTTTCATAGAGGTAATGATGGATTTCTTTGTAAAAGTTGTCCATCTTTCCAACAGAAAGATTTGCCTGGACCAACGTAACGTGATTACGTAACTTCCGTAAGGTTCATGTTCAGCCAATCAACTACTTAGACGTCATCGGTAGTCGACGGACCCCGAGCCGATCTCGCACCCGAGTAAATCTTGTACCGACACTAGCGTATCTCTGACTCAGAAGCTCTGGTGTTGTGCACAGTTAACTCCGGTTGTAGCTAGGTTGCTACATCCGTTAGCTTAGCTCCCACCTCCGCGTTAGCTTCAGGTTAGCGTGTAGCTAGTTTGACCGGGTGTTGTCAGTTGATCCCAGCCTTACAGCCCCACCCTTAGCTCCACCTCTCTTCCCTTTTGTGGAATTGTCTGGGCTTGACGGAACCTGTGACACGGTCAAAATGGCGGTGGTGGCCACCTCCCATTTTAGTACAAAAACGTGTTATTGGAGTCCATGGAAACCCATTGTCCAATATTTATATGTCGATGTGTACAACAAAAGAATTAAACAATAGAACATATAGCGCCATAGACATAATTAAAACCACAAATAAGAATTACAAAATATAAAACATTAACAATTGCTAACCCACAGAATTAAAAGCCAGATCATAAAAGTAGGTTTTCAGCCTCATTTTGAAAACTGCTGCTGATGGAGAGCCCTTAATGGTTAGGAGCAGTGCGTTCCACAGTTTCGGACCCGCAACAGAGAACGCCCTGTCCCCTCTCAACTTTAACCCGGCCTTAGGAGCCACAAGTAGCAGCTGGTTCTCAGAGCGGAGTGACCGGGCAGGAGCATATGGCTGCAACAACTCCGTCAAATAGGTTGGAGCCACACCACTCAGCACCTTAAACACCATTAAAAGAAGTTTAAAACAAATTCTAAAATCAACAGGCAACCAGTGGAGAGCAGCCAAAATTGGTGTCACGTGTTCATGCTTCCTTTTGTTGTCCAAGAATCTTGCTGCAGCATTCTGGACAAGCTGCAGCCGGGTTACAGCACCCTTACTTACACCAAATAAAACGGAATTATAATAGTCGAGTCGTGAGGTAATAAAAGCATGAACTACAGTCTCAAGGTCACGTCTATATAAAAACGGCTTTACTTTAGCCAAACGTCTTAAATGATAACATGAAGAGGATACTACAGTACCCACATGAGAATCCATGCAGAATGCACTGTCCATCTTCACGCCAAGGTTGACTGCTGAAACACCCAGATAGGAGTTCAGTTCACCGCAGCCTACATTTGAAAAATCAACATGTCCACTCGGACCAAACAACAGTGCCTCTGTTTTTTTCCCATTGAGATGCAGGAAGTTTTCTGCCAACCATATCTTAATTTCTGCCAGACAATCCAAAAAAAAGTTTTATCGTGTGATCACCAGCGCCATCTAGAGGCAAGTACAATTGGCAGTCATCGGCATAGAGATGGAATCCAATTTCAAACTTTCGTAAAATGTCACCCAATGGGAGAATATAAATTGAAAACAGCAAGGGTCCCAGTATTGAACCCTGCGGTATCCCCCATGGCAGATGTGAGAAGCCCGATGAGAAGCCACCCATCCTCACACAAACCATCCTGTCACGTAAATATGATCTAAACCAGTTTAGGGCTTGCCCAGAAATTCCCACATAGAATCATCAGACATAGAATCACAAAGTGCTTCACATAGATTAAAACAAAATAAAACATAAAATCATAATGATCTCAAAACAGAAATAGATTAACATCAAGAAAAAATATCATCAAATTATAAAATTTCATAAACAGATGAAAGATTATTATAAATTTGAGTAAAAAATTAGAAAACAAAAGATTTATGTGAAATCAGCTTTAAATAAAAGGGTATTTTGCAGTTTTTTAAAAGAAAGAAACAATCTTTTATATGGCGCCTCTCAAGATAAAAATCATGAGATAAAAAATATATTAAAAATTATTCAAATGTGTTTAAAATGAGAAAAAAATACAAACAGTGAATGAAAAAAATGTAAGGAAAGGGAGAGAGAAAATGAATAGGAAAGGGGGAAATCCTGGGAAAGGT